GTAGGAAAAGTTATAGTAGTAAAAAAATAAAAATGACAAACACTTGTATCAAAAATGACAAGTATATGTATCAATATCAAAATTTCTTCTGAAAAAGAAGCAAAGCAAAACTTCTTCATATAATTTATTTGATGTTCAAACATTTGTACAGAACTACATTCAAACTAGGTAAAACTAAAAAGCAGTGGGGATATATTTAAAGATTGCAAAACTATCAAGAAAAGGAAGAAAATAATTAAGAAAATATGATACTTCCTGCCATAAGGATCATCTGGTTTCTTTGGGAAAGAGGCACACAGAGGATTCTGAGGTATTGGCAATGTCATATTTTCTTAAATTACATGAATATTCACTGCATCATAGGTATTTGGTAATATGCAAGCTATACAGGCAATTTGTATATTCTCTTTTATCTATCAAATATATTTCAGATTGAATCAAACGCAACCAAAAGAGGATTAAAGGAACAAGTAAAACTTAAGGTGGCAAATCCTTCTGACAAAGCAGGAGTTAGGATGAAGAAAGTCAGAAGAATATTCATGGAAGAAAGCCAAGGGACAGGCAGAAGCCAGAACTGAATGTCCTGTGTGCTTAGCTGGGGAGCTCGGATTTTGTCCTTGAGATAATACTATTAATTGACTTCCCTAGATGCAACCTCCTGTTTCATTTTGTCTCACTTGCTGAGATTAAATTATCTTCCTTATCAGTAAAGGTCTCAGATAAACAGTTGACACAGGGATTGGCTAACACAGAGACTCAAAAGGAATAAGATGACTCATGGATTCGAAAAGCCAAGGTGCTACTGCCTCTGGATGCAAGAACAGGTGTACTTCTTTGGGACAAAGGGCTCCTCATTATTGAGAGGGAGACTCAGGGTCTTTCCTGGCTGCTGCTGTAGTCCTGCCTCCCTGGTGCTGCCAAACTTTCACTACTGATGACTGATGTATTGTCACCACCACTGCCATAGGAGTTGCAGCCAAAACCCAGAAAATCATAAGAAAGGGGGAGGGAGGAGAAAGAGAGAGAAATATCGTCCTCATTTCCAATCAATTGCCAGTATTTCCCAGAAACAGTACCTTGACAGTATAGGGTGAAAGCTCCAAACTTCCCTAAAATACATAGCAGAGCACAGAAGAAAAGGAATGGAGTTAAGAGCAAATTAATTAATAATTGGCAAATCTTCCTATAGCAAAGTTCAGATCTCTCCCCAACTCCCACTGCCCTGAGAACTTCATACTTTACCCAGGTGAAGCTCTCAGCTGCCTGGGCCACTATGTGGCTCCCATCCTCTGTGACATCCATAGACCCTTGCTGTGCATTTCCTGTCCACTCTACCCTTCCAATCTCCAATCAGATATTTTGGCCCTAACAAGATCTTCCAAGTCTCAAAGCTTATCTTCCTGCTCCTATTCACAGGGTATTTCAGATTGAACTCCTGCACATTCTAATTTAATTCAAAAATCACTACAAATACCACTAAATAAGGCCTATTCCTTTATGGAGACTAAAACCTGTATATGTGAAGAATGAGAAAACAAAGAAAGAAATTGCAATAGAATATATTAAGTTTCATGTTAAATGTGTCAGCTGTGATTTGGTTTGGCTGCATTTAAGAGAAGATAAATGCAGATGTTGATAAATGTTGGTGTATCTTTTAAAGCATATATTTCTCAGACAGAAACTTCCTGGCAGTAGAATATTTCAGTTCTGAGATGTCGTCTCCACCAAGCTGCTAGGAATTGAGGCTCCTGTTTTTCCGCTCTCATATTCTTAGCACGTGGCTTCCATCAGCGACATCTCATGGGTCCAGACAGGTCTTAGATACCTCACCAGCACATTTACCTGCTAGGCTGTTTCAAGAAAGAACACAGAGAAATGCAGCTAAGATGGGTTCCTTTTAGCAGCTCTCACACAGTTATTATTATTGGCCAGAAATGAGTCTCATGGTCATATCCTGTTGCAAAGAATAACGGGAAATGTATTATTGTAATGTGTGTAAGGTTACCTCAAATCAGATTGGATTCTATTAACTAAGTGGAGATTGGATATTGGTTAGCAGGTGGCACTGCTGGACACAAATATGATACATTATGGGCATTCAGATGAGGGGTCAGAAACCCACATTTGGGAAGCCAAAGAAGAGTTTCAAGAGGAAATAATTTCTGTACTCCTCCCACTCCTTCTCATCCTGATTTAGAAACATACCCATACATGTCTGTTTCCAACAAATAGAAAGCAGATTCTGTTCTCTTCATATTTATAACCTGTCAAAGGGAAGCTTTTTAATAGCAGATTGTCTATAGTGGATTGAGATGAAGGTGATGAAATTTTTGAACAGGAAAAGGGAAAGGTATGTCATCTTTGCTAAGGTTTACTTGTCTTTGAACTTCAAGAAAAAAAAGTCTCGGGTTTTGTTTTATTTATTTATTTTTTAATCACAGAGGAAGTCTACATAAATAGTTCTTTGAAATATCTGTAACTTATAACCCTTAAAATTTCTTATTACTAATTGCTGATCCACTTGTTACTCATCTCATTGAGCAGAGTTTCCTCTTAACCCCATCTGGGCAGTCCCAACAGCTCAGGGTTTTAAAGTCAGGCCAACTTCAAGATCCTAGGCATTATGTGGGTAAGCAGCAGTGACTCAGGCTGTGGAGATTATGACTTGACATCCTTTCAGAGAGCATGGTTTTTGGAATAGGTATGACTATGAAACCAACATATGAGCACAGGTCATTGCAATAACTGATTCCCAGATGAATCACCTTATCTATTTCTGGATGTATATCTAAAGTTGAATGTGGCAACTTTGACGGAAAAGAATCTAAAACCCAAATTGAGACAAATCCCTACAATCTGAGGAAATTTAAGAGCAGCTGTTAACACACCTTCTCTTATTTCATTCCATTTGTTATAGCTGGTGTGAGATTATTCACAGAAAGAATGCCTTTGTGAGATGACTACTGGTATACCAAGCAATGAAACCCAAGCTCTAACAGTGACTTTGCTTCCTGTTCGGTTTCATTTTAAATCACTAAGAAATGAGTAGTCTTGGCACTATAGCACGTGCCCGTAATCCCAGCAACTTGGGAGGCTGAGGCAGGAGACTCAAGCAAGTTCAAAGTCAGTCTCAATGTATTGAGACCCTTTCTCAAAATACAAAATAAAAAGAGTTGGGCATGTGGCTTAGTGATAGAATGCTCCTGAGTTTAATTCCCAGTACCAAGGGAAGGGAAAGGAAGGGACTACCTAGGCACATGTCAATTATGGCAAAGCTAATGGAAACATGGCTGTTCCATCTAGTACTGAGCCTAGGTCAGGTTGGAGACCTGGTCTAACTTGAACTAGGTGATATCTTGACCCTCTGAAACACCTCTACCCGTTTTCCAATTCTGAGACAACTTGACAGAGTCATGTTGCCAGCTGCCTCCACTCAACATTTCTGCATTATCAGCTGAGTGTGGAAGAGAGAAAGCAGTCTGTACGCCATCACGTTCTGCTGGGAAAGAGTCACGCTGGAAAACAGATTTCCCGGGATCCCTCGGTGTGCTCTCAAGTGCTCTAAATGAGCATCTTGGAGGTTTCCTTATCTCTTGGGAATGAGAGATAGTTCTCTGCTGTTTCATATGTGATAATCTGCGAGGAAGCTACCAAAGCCCCAAGCTCCAATTCACTGTTTAAAATGATAAGGTCATGTGGTTAAGCACCAGGAGGGAGGAGAAGAGCTGCCCTTGGAAACAGGAAACGCTCTTTTCTGGGAGGCAGAGCTCCAGAAATCACCAGCCCAGAACCCCAAATCCGGAATACCTAGTGGACTGAGGTATTTAGTCCTGTGGGAAATGAAAGATGGCGGCTAAGAGCCAGAGCATCAGAACTGTGATGAACCTTATTTTTCTTTTCTATCTTTGTTGGGGGGCAGGGTTCAGAGAATTGAACCCAGAACCTTGCACACAATTATATTTCCAGTTCCCCTTTTTATTTTGCTCTGACACAGGGTCTCACTAAGTTGCCCAGCTGGCCTTGAACTTGCAATTGTTCTACCTTAGCCTACCAAGTAGCTAGGCATGTATCATCATGTCCAGCATGGACCTTAGGTTTTTTTTTTTTTTTTTTTTTTTTTTTTTTTTTTTTTTTTTTTTTTTTTGAACCCAAGAGTGCTTAACCACTCAGCTAACATCCCCAGTTCATTTTTTGTTTTGTTCTGTTTTGAGACAGGGTCTCACTAGGTTGCTTACAGCCTTGCTAAATTGCTGAGGCTGGCTTCAAACCTGCAATCCTCATACATCAGCCTCCTGAGCCACTGGGAGGGATCACAGGCATATGCCACCATGCCTGGCTGGACTTAGATTTCGAATCCAACATTCTTGTGTTACAGATGATAAAACCAAGAAACAGAGACACAAAGACAGGATTTTAAATCTAGTTCCAATACTGTATCACAAGGCATGTGTGATTTGTTCACAAGTGGAGCCATAGCTAGGAATCTGACATCTATTTCAGTAAATCCAGTAGTTTATTGCAACCTATAGTAAAAAATAAGGCTACACATTAACCACAACATAATTTATTTGTTTTTACATGGAATTACATCAATTCAATGTGCTCCACTAATTTCTCATGTAAAAAGAAATCAGAGTCTAATAATGCAAAATGGCCTAATGGAAAGAGTCTAGATTTAAACCTGGGTATAGTAATCTTCAGTAATTGGACAAGTCACTTAAAATCTCCAAGTCACAGCTTTGTCATCTATAAAACAAGAGAACTGTCACCTTGCAGGGTTGATGAAAGGATTCCAGATGATGTATGGCAAGGATCAATTTTTCTGGTTGACATTGTTTATGTTCAGTAAATAGGAATTATTATCAATGTTATTATTATTAAACATCAGAAAGACAAATTGCCAGCTTTAAAATGAGAAGGTAACTTATTAAAATAATTTTTGTACAACCTTTTCAGAGAAATAGTTTTTGTGTTAAAAAAAAAAAATCTAACTTGTCTACCTTATCTGCATTCAAATCTTAATTCAAGCTCTTGAATCCCCCAAGAAAGTGTCCCCTCGCCTCCTTCGTCCTGAATTACACCATGTTCTTGGATGTACTTGCAATCCACATACATTTGTTGTGTTCTGAATGTTTCTGGGGTTGCCATGGTTTCTAATACTCATTTCTAATCTGCAGTGGAATGTTTGAACTGAGCAGTTACCAGTTAAAGGGAGGGAAGAGGCACGGGCATGTCAGACTTTGCAGCTTCATATAATATGGTCACAAATCACAGTCAAGCCTTCTGTTTTCTTTATCTATTAAATAGGATCATTATATACTTCCTTTGCAAAATTTTTGGTGACAATGACACGGACTAAGACCTGTGAAAGCACGCAGCTTGCAATGTACAAGATACTCCATCATAAATGCTATAATCATACCAGCCAGGTTAGCTCACCCTTTCCTTGACATCTTTAACTCTTTCTTCTGGTCTCTTTCCAGAAAGTTCTATGTCCTCTCCTTTTAACCACTTAATTAAATGTAGCTATAGAAAAGAGCAAGGGAGATTTAAGGAAGTGGATTTTTCTTTTCTTTTTAATTAAAAGTCTTTTATTTTATAGAGAGTAATTTATGGACAAAAGAAAAATGCACAGGTAAGTATTAAATACTATGAATTTTTCAGAAATTGAAACAATAATTAAATTTCAAAGTGAAACAAAGAATTTTTTAAATTCTGCAGTGAACTCCCATTACATTAGATTCTGCAGTGAACTCCCATTACATTGTAGAAGTCTTGGTTTTGAAATGAAATGTACTTAGCATTGAGCTTAAAGTTGAAAATAACTTTTCAGTTTTATAAACTGACTACACTCAAGCAAGACACACTAAGTTTATGAAGTATCTATTTTGTTATTACCTGACATTTTAAATACATGGCAACCATTACTCATGATGCTCAGATCTGTACAGTTTTCTATTCAGAAAAATTTGAGAAGTGTATGAGACAATAGAAAAAAATTAATACAGTTCAAATGATACAATTTTTCCAATAACTTACTTATATTCATTTCCTATGGTTTCTTTAACAAATTGCTACAACTCGCTGGGCTTTTCTTACTTGCTTTTTTATTCTTTATAATTCCATCTAAATCTTTTGATGAGCAAGAATTTCCAGAGAGGATGGGCTGTGTCAGTCTTAGTCACTTATGTAACTGAAGTGCTGAGTAAAGAGTCTGATACACAGTAGAGCATGAGATCAATATGTACCAAGATTTAAGTACTTGGCTTTAGCATCAACTTTTCTTGCTACCTTTGGCCTTCAGGAAAGCTATTTAAATTTCAATTCTGTTTGCTTATCTGAAAAATGAAGATAACAACAGAAGTAAATCTTTAATTTATACTGAGGATTGCTGAATGAGATTTATGGGAGGTCATTGTTTTGGACTGACTTTATCCACTGGGTTCCAACAGAACAGACCAAACCAAACTGGAATCACTCATGCTGTTTCCACAGCACCCAAGTGAAAGTAAGTTGATTATCCAACCTGAGAAATCAGAAGAGAGGTGTTAGACAAATTCCCTAACAGGCTACTTCTAGCCAGCACGAATAAGAAAGTTCGATCTGCTTCTGAACTTGTAAGAAAAGCAACCTGAAGTACCCTGATGTCACTCAATCTAATATTTATATTATGCTTTTCTCTTGTTCCTGCTCAAGCTACCTTATAAAAGCTATCTTTTACCATGCCCATCAGAGTGGCCTAAGTCCTTAAATGAGACTCTACCCAATGCATGAATCATTAATAAAAGTCAATTTGATATGAAAACTAAATTTGTTGTACTTTTGGTTTTTAGAGTTATCGAATGTAAAATGCTTAGCATAAATAGTAAATATTGTCTATTTATTATTAAAACATCAAGTGAAGGTAAAATAGCTGAGAGAAAGGGCACAGGTCATTCAATATTATTTACACTATAGGCCAAGCATTAGAGGGTCCACTAGGTAAGGCCTGGCCCACTAACCCTCCTACAAAAGGGTATTCTAGAAAAACAACCCTCTCTTGTTCCCCTAAGGTGTTGTCCTTCATGTTGAAGCTACAATGCCTCTGATGCGTGTACTTCATTGTATTGTGAATTTCTTCCCCAGTCTTTAGAAATCCTATCCCCCTTTCAAGATACAAACTGAATTCAGAAGATCACCATGCTGTCCTCAGCCACCTGCCTCCACATCCCCATGCTTCTAAGAATAAGAGGTCACTTGTCTCCTCATCTTCTGCTGCCCTTTGGCAATCTGTTCACACCTCCCTCACAGCACAGCAGAGAATTGCTTGATAGGCTTCTGTGGCTTATCTCTGTTAGATTAGGAACTTCCTGTGCAGAGTCCTCTCCACTGCTTATCTCCCTCTCTAGGAAACCAGCAGGCCTAGGCTGCAGTCCATGAGATCCTATCAGATTGAGTTAGTCAAAATTGATGGGAGTTTGCAAAATCATTTGCCTTTGCTGCTTGTTTGTTAATTTGGCGGTGCAACTGGGCGTGGTGGTGCATGCCTATAATCCTAGTGACTCAGGCAACTGCAGCAGGAGGATTACAAGTTCAAGGCCAGCCTCAACAATTTATGGAGACTCTGTCTCAAAAATAAAATAAAATAAAAAGGACTGAGGGTGTACTTCAGTGATAGAGTACCCTTGAGTTTAATCTCAGTGCCAAAACAAAGAAATAAATAAAATATTGGCGATTTATTCTAATTACTTCTTACTGGAATTGAACTGTCAGTTTAGTTTCTTGAAATATGCAGTTTCAACAACACAGGATTGAGTGGGGTGGAGCTGCCTTAAAAGTGATTAAAAGGGATTTAAAAGCAGTATTGTAGAGACACGCAAATCGGTACTATGAATCCACACCGCCTATTCTCACACTTTTATAAAGTTTCTGTCCCTTTCTGCAGCCCTCCTAATGAATTGAACAGTTGGTTGTCGCATAATCAACAAACTGACCAGAATGGGTATTAACTCTAGTAACTGTGGATGCATCTAAATATTGGAAGTGTCAGTGAAGCAAGTTTAGCCTGACACATAGCCTTAGTTTTGAAACCAAGCAGAAGGAAAAGAAGCCTGCAATTGTGAACATGTGCTTCAGTTTATGTGCCCTTAATGTTTCTAAAGAGCTTTTAATAATTTTTTTTTGTAAAAATAATACTTAAAATACTTAATGATAAAAAATAGTCTTATGAAAAAGGCCCTCCCACTCCATTTCTGAAAAGTATTTGCACCTGAAAAGTGTAGCCCGATGTTCTGAAATTATATATCAATTCACATAAAATACATTTTACATTGAGAAAATTATGAATAACATTGTATAAATAATTATACATGAATTCATAACATTTTAAAAATGCCACAGCTTGTGAAAACAGGTAGACAATGTAAGTCTGTGCCTTGTTGGGTGTCTAGAAATCAAGCAGTTAGGTCAGTGTCACATAATGGGAAATTTTCTCAGTCTCTCGAAGCTTTCAATTCTCTGGGCTAATCTTGGTATCTCTCCCACAGGATTGATGTGAAAATTAAAATTGAAAATGCACACAAAATACTAGAGTGCCTGATTGCTACAAATATCCACTAAACATTTCTTTCTAATGTTAAAAACACACACACACACACACACTAAGTTTCTGCTCTATTATGAACTCTACCAGTCTGCAATGATATAAAGGTTAAGAATAGGCATCCTGCTCCTTATTCTGACTTTCTCTAGAAGAAACCAAGGAAACCAAGAGGATTAAAAGTATAGAACAACTGACAGCCAAAAAAAATTGGATACTGAAAGCAAATAAAGATCTTCGTCTTTCTTAAACTCCATCTAACCAAAACATTCTATTAATATTGGCACTTTCAAAGCTAAATTATTCTAATTGCAAAAGGAGTTTGTAGTCTTTCCCTCATTATACAATTGTCCAGTTTGGAGCTTACATTGCCTGCGGTTTATCAATGAGGAGGACAGAGATCTCTGTCTTTTTGAGTCTTCTGCCCTGAATTAGTGACTTCAGCAAGAAATTTTTGCTGACTCAACTGGCCTTCCTCTTTGCCTTCAACATAACTTGTATTTATCCTTCAAGAGCCAGTTCAAATGTTACCTCTTCTGGTTTTTTTTCTTTCTTTCTTTCTTTTTTCCTTCTTGCTCCATATATTCACAGAAGAATTCATTGCTATATTGCTCTAGCTTTAATGTTTCTACTGTGCTCTACTTTGCTGAATTCCTTCATTATCCACTCCATAACTTGACTATTGTATGCCTCCTTCTAGGGTACATCTATTATTTGGCACCTCTATCTACTATAAGCTCTCTTAGTTTAAAAAATTCAAATAATTATATACTAATGTATTTATTATTCATTCTCTAAATGTGAAATTTGGGCAATTTTGTGGGACCATATCAATATGTGGATCATTAGAAGGTAATGTTCTGGGACTCTGGTCTACTGAGGAGCCAGCAGACCTAGACTTTGGGTCTTGCACCATTTGCGCAACCCTGAGTAAGTTGCTTAGGGTCTAGACCTTCCTTTCTTTAGCTTCTTTCCTTTTTCCAAAATGTTAATTTGGACTGTATAAACTCTAAGATTCTTTTCAGTTCCAAAATGCTATGAGTTTGTAATATCAACTAAGCTAAATACCCAGTACTTTTTCCCCTTAATAAATTAAGAATGTCATGCTGAGAGTTTAAGCAATGTTAATGTAATTAAAAAACAGAGCCTGGTATTTCAGAGGGTGGGCTCTCCAATCAGAATTCCTGGGTTTGAATCTTTTCTCCAATGTTTGTTTGTTTACCCTGGGATTTTTGGCAAGTCATCGAAATTTTTGTGCCTTTGTTTCCTGATTTGTCCAGTGGAGACAATACAGCTTGTCTATGTCATATGGTTAATATGAAGATTAAATTAATAATATGCAAAGTTTTAATAGCAGTGCCCACCTCATAAAAGGTATTAAATGCCAGCTCTCATCTTACTGCAGTATCCCATGCCATTTAACAAGACAGAGGGTCCTGGTACCTAGTCTCCTGGTCATACAACCAGTGCTTTTAAAACTGTACCATAAGCCATCTAATATGGTGCTTATAGTAATTATCCACATAAACATAT